AATCTGATACCTATTTGTTGAAAACAAAGATGTTATCAGATTGCTCTGATATCACCTTGTTGAAGAAAACACGAGACTATAGACACAATATTTTGTACTTGATCATAGTAACATAAGAACAAAAAAAAAATTCAAAGTAAATGAGATTTCACTAAAATATCAAGAAAGAATACAGAGATTTTGTATTTATTATTTTCTAATTTAATGTAAAATATAATGAAAAACTAAATATATATTTGTGACATTTTATACCCCAAAAGTAGAGTTATAGATAAAATAGAATGCTAAAATAAAGTCAAAAATGCGAAAACCAAACAAGACTAGGTAAACACACTCGAACGCTAAACGAGCGACCATCTCGAAGCGATGCCGCTCAAATGATAGGCGAACGCCAGGCAGATGGCACTGGGGCGTTGCCTATGGGCGCTAAGGCGTTGTGTCTTGGGTTAAATTTGATTTCCTTGACTCTTTTGCTTCCCAAGAGCTTCCTTGTAATATCTTGACTTTACAAATTTCTAACTCTCAATTGGGCTCTAAATAGAACTTCAACTAGGATTTGTCAAATAAACTTCGAATAGGATTCCAAAGTAGCATCCCAATAGGATTACTTCTTAAGTCGACTTTAATTATTACTCCAAATTATATTCAAAATAGAATTCGGGTCACACCTTAATTCTAACATAGATATAGTGAGCTTATTATGTAAAATTGAATTTACTCAAGAGGGGTTTTCAATTAAATATGAGAAGTTCGATTGAATACAGTTATTAATTATTTTTCATGGCTTTATATGATAAATTAAGGGGGGATTAAGGTGAAATTGTGATTCCTAACATATTTTTACTTTGTTGAATGAACTGCATTATTGATAACGACTTAAAAAAAAAAAAGACGATAGGTACATCGAATTATTATTAATTATTAAAAATCAAGATTGTCCACTACACAAAACTTCTACTCATAAGTCATAAGCTACATTTATTAAAATCAACAGCTTAATATAATAGTTTTCGTGGGGTCCACTTTATTACTTATTTTATGATATTGTTTTCTTATATTTTCAACCCATCGAGAAATCTATCATGGTAGGACATGACTAACCTTTACTCATCTACGTGTAAACACATTACATGCATTGAATTTAACCATGTTTGGTTCGGCTAAAAATTACGTTTTTAGTAGATTTTGATAAATATTGATGAAATATATTGGTTCAAAAGTAAATAAAAAGAATTTTTCTTCTCGTACAGAAGAACTGCCGACTCTCACACGAAATTACAGCCCCACGAGATTTAAATATTGCAAAAAAGGGCCCCATCTTGATGTGTGTAATCTGTAAGTTTTACAGAAATTTTTTTTTGTGCATGTAGAAGTGATCAAATAAAAATTCACAAAAAAATTGTGGATTTAATAAAACGTGTGATCGAAAATAGATTTAAAAAAAAATTGAAAATTTGGGCCAGACAGGGTTTAGCATGTCCACCTGCAAAATGATAGCACCTTTTGCACTTGGGAATTGTACTTCAGTTTCAAAGGTTCTCAAATTCCGAGGATGATGTTGTAGGGTCTTTCCCTTTCTCTCAAGCATTTTTACCGTTGGGAGATTAACTGATTTTTATCATAGTATTGTTTGAATGAGTTTGAAAAACAAAATGTAATTTTGTGTGAAGAGGTATATTTTTAAAAAAAATTTAACTCGTCGACTACTTTTTGGGTGTTTGTCTTTTCCGTCCTAAGTGCTAAAGCTATAGAAATTTGAATCATTTTTGGAATGTTTGGTTACTTGAATTGTATAGGAGGATAATGTAATTGACATATTTTAGATTTATCCAAAAATTTATTACTCGTGGTTAGAGAAGTGACAATTTAGAAATAATGGTAAGTACATATATCTTTATTCCTTAATTTTGTCCAATTTTATCTATTACTACATTAATATACCCTTTTGATATTAATTGCCTGTTATGCTTTGTTATATTGTCATGCTCGAGTCTGTTTGGTGGGACTTTTAAAAATATCAAAAGTTACTTCCGAGACTATTAAATTGCTTTTGAACATGATCGATAATTTTCTTAAATTGTTTTTTTCGCTAGGAGAATTTTTAGGGGAAGTTGATCTAAGATAACTTTTTTCATGAAACTTTTCTACAAGAAGCAAAAATTATGTCAAACTAACTCTTCGTGCAACATATTCGTTTAATTGAATCGATACGTAGTGGTGTTAATGGGCCAAGCCAGCTTAAGGCCACGAGCTCGGCTCGTAGCTAGTGGAGAAACGAGCCATGAGCTCACGAGCCAAGCTGAGTCGGCTTGTGGCTCGTTTGCTCATGGGCGAACTCGGCTCGGCTCGACCCATGAAGTCGGGAACTAACGAGCCACGAGCCGAGCGGCTCGGCTCGTGTCTCATTTGATTTTAATTTTTTTTGTTTAGTTTTCTTTGTTTTTTTTTTCACGAGCTCGACTCGTGGGCTCGGCTCGTGGGCACCACCCACGAGCACTCGTGTATCCGCTCGGCTCGTCTAGCGTGCAGGCTGCTCGGTTCGTGGCTCAGGCTCGTCTTTGACGAGCTCGAGCGGCTCGTGCTCGTCTTTTCACGAGTCGAGCGACCGAGCCGAGCCTTTTGACATCACGATCGATACGTTGTTAAAAGCATGTGGACTTTAATTGAAGCTAATAATCTTTAATATAAAGACGAGCTCGAGCGGACGAGTCGAGCCTTTTGACATCACTATCGATACGTTGTTAAAAGCATGTGGGCTTTAATTGAAGCTAATAATCCTTAATATAAAAAAAAACTTTGGAAATGCAGAAAATGACTGCGAAAGGGGGTGGGAACAAAAAGGACAAATTTAATTTAATGGCCAAAATTAAGAAATAAATCATTCGATTTGAAAATTCTTTTCCATTGACTATAAACTGTCTCTCATCTTGTAACCGACAAGAGAATTATTTCTCCCATGTGACCACGAAATTTTTTCCAAACGCGTGTTTTTGATGTGAACGCTACATCCGAATTGCTGTAATGGTAGGTAAAGAAAGAGCATTACCTAATCCTATTTCAATAATTAAAAATCAAAATGTCACGTTATTGTCTAATGTGCTTTTTAGTAAACTTAAAATTGGAACGAAGACTACTATTTTATCTTCATACAAATTTGACCGTTCAACTAATTTATTTTCAGATTTTTTGTAAACGATTTGACGATTTGAAACGGTTTTCAAAGAATAAAAACTGAATCAAATCTCTTCGAAATGGTTTTGTTCGGTTCACCAAAACGTTGACAGATCCACGTGGAACAAAATCAACAGTTTTAGAAAAAAAAATTTGGTTCAATTTCGAGGTTGACGATTTCATTGTTCGGCCCTAAATATTTAAATTATTATTTAATTTATGGATATATTAGGAAAAGTGTAAGTAAAATTTATATTTTTAATTATATAATTGCATTTTGTTAATATGTGTGAATATGAAAGTAAATCTGTCTTTATGAAATTGAGGGGTGTAATTTATAATGAATATTTTTATTAATAAAAATGTGTCGGTTCTTCGAACTTGCCTGTGGATGAGAATATCTAAACCGGAAGGTTCTCTCTTCCATGTAAGTGGGCCGTAGACTAGACTTAAACTTGTCAAGTCCACGCTCCAATCTCCATCACGCACGAGGTCTCAATAATCTTTCATTTGATTAAGTGCGTGTTTGACGCCTTGAACATTTTTGAAATAACGATTGATGGAAGAATGTGTGATGAAAAAATGATGAAAAGTTTTAAATTTTTGTGTAATAATATTTTATTTGAAAATTATGTGATTGAAATAAAGAAAGAGAATGTGTGCCAAACAGGGGCTAAATCATTTTAAAAACAAAAAGATTAAGGGGATGTTGACAAACTTAGCCCCCAAGTCTTACATTCATTCCAAACTTTTTTTTTTTTTTTTCTATTTATTCATTTTCAATCATACATTCATCACAAGTTTGCCACTCTTCTTGACATATATTTGTGTGTCAAAAATTTGGTGTACATGTAGCATAACTGGACGTGTATTGACTTTTATTACAATCGATATACCATGAGGCATGTTATGAACATTTAGGCCATGTTCGGTAGGGATTAAAATCCAATTAAAATTGAAAATATGGCTGTTATTGGGTCCCACTCATCTAATAAAAGTCAACAATAACGACTATTTTTTCAATTTTAATCTGATTTTAAT